TGAAACACAAAAAAGCTAGGATAATTGAATTTTCAAAGCAGTGCGAAAAGTTGGTTTGGAATCATTGTTATTAATGAAAGACAGTACCTTTTGTGAATATGGAAGGCGTCAAAGAAATTCAATGCACTAACTGAAGAAATGGGGGGATAATATTTGCTGAACAAAAATCAAAATTATTCGTTTAAGTAATAACTTAAAATCAACTATAGAACATATGTTTGCTTCTTCTCTTTGAACGTAAGATACGTGCAACTTGATACGAAATTTTATTTCTAAATGTTTGGTTGATATAAGCTTTAGTGCACTGTTAAGAAATGCTATAAATTCCTCAGGAATTAAAATAAGAAATGTAATCTTTAAAAACCGAATTATAAAAATTTATTGATAGTGAGAAAAATGACATGAAAATTAAACGCTTTGAGAATCCAGGCAGTTTTATAACTGTAGAAGATAAAAATGGTATGCTGTTTTGATTATTGTGGTTATTTCTAATAACAGAATGTCTTTTAAGATCAAGAGGGAATATTTTTTAAGTTTTATGAATAACTATGAGAGAAGATCATTTGTCAATGGTAATAGAAAGTGCTAAGAAGAAAGTCGTATCTGATTTTCTTTAAAATCGATAGAGTTATATTCAGAATTCTATGCCAATCTAAGGTTTTCATTTTCGCAGTTTTAAATTTTACTTTGGCATATTTTTCTTCCAGTAAATCTGTATGTAATTTAAGGAAATATTTTTTCATATCTAAGAAGTTGGTTTGGGAAACGAATAATTTTGTAGTGCAATTTCTCCGTAAGTTTTCGTAAAAATTATTATTAATATTACTTATATAGGAAAAAGAAATAGTCTAAAAATTCTAATTAAAGTAAAAAATAAAAAAGGAGGATCTTGAAATTCATAGATTTATTTGATATTCACCAAAATGTTTCATATTCGACAAATTTCAGAAAATGTAAAGTAATGGTAATAAATGTAAATTTATTAAAAGTATTTACACAGTGTTCTTTAAGTTAAAATTAGAAAAAAATTCAACCTTATTAACTTTAATTTTGCGGGAAATTTTAGCACATTTCGCGGTTATTTGACATACACTTTTCATTCTTAAACAAAATTGTTTTGTACCTTTTCCTGAAATACATCTCCAAACTGCCTGAAATGAAAGGAACTAAATGATAACAATACAGCATAAAGTGTGCAAGTGACAAAGAATGCAAGTTTACGCCTGCCGTTGGCAACAGCCTTGAGCACCTCACATGTGACAGTGCAATTTAGCTAAGTTCCGCCCCCAATTTTGATGGAGAGTACCCCTGGGGGGTCGGATCCGAGGGTGTCCCACCCCTCTTCCTCTATTAACAACGTCTCTAGAGGACTTTCGGCTCGCCGCATATTTAGTGTCCCCATGCCGCACGGAAACTATACATTTACAAACATCCATGCCTTCTCCTGAATTCGAACCCGGGTCCTGCGGCACGGCAGTCAGCGACGCTAACCATTATATCGGTTTGGGAGGGCATCTAGTGTTAGTTTACAATTCGAATGAAAGGCAAGACAAATAACCATACACACTAATGAGGTAGAAGAATTCGCACTTACGATTTATAAAAAATTCATTAAATTTTACTGCAGATCATTGTGCAGCGTTAAATTATGTGTGTATGAAGGTCTGTTCTAAGCCTATTAAAGAAGTTAATTAGCTAACAAAATTAGTTGGCTGAGAAGTAATTTGTTTTCGATTGCTTTGGATATTTTTGAAAAACTTTCATGAAACGCCTCAAAGCAATCCAGACTTTCACAAATAATTTCAAACGTTTAGTTTTTGATATGTCTGTGTACAACACAGTCATTCTTCAAACAAATCCTATTAGCGAGTTATGTTAATTTGAATCATGTAAAAATAGATCCTTAAACTTTATGTGTGACGTTATGGTGTGGTGTATTTAATTACGGCAAAGCACACTAGGGCTATCTGCCAAAGGGGAGGGATGCCTTTCGTGGAGGACTTTCTAAGGGAAACTGGCTCGTATACACGTTACACATGGGGAAAACCACGAAAACACCCATGCAGCCAGCCCGTTCGCGGGATTCGAACCTCGGACCGAACTACCAGTGTTCAGCGACTTTACCGCTCGGCCGCTGGTGGGCGTGTGACGTTATGAAAACCAATGTCAATCATTCAAATTTAGGTTAACATGTTTATCATGAAATTCACTGACGACATATTAATAAGTTGAGAGTTCTATTAAAGTATGAAAAAAAATCATTATCTCCAAACAACAATCTAATAAAGAATATTCGAATGAAACTTTAAAATAACGGTGGAAATTTCGGCAACAGTATCCAATCACCAATCGTTACTGCGGAATTCTGAAGGACACAGTCATCCATAATTGCCTAATCCATAATTTGTCGCCCACCAGCGGCCGAGCGGTAAAATCGCTGAACACTGGTAGTTCGGTCTGTGGTTCGAATCCCGCGAACAAGCTGGCTGCATGGCGTTTTCGTGGTTTTCCCCATGTGTAACGTCTATACGAGTCAGTTTCCCTTAGAAAGTCCTCCACGAAGGCATCCCTTCCCTTAGGCAGATAGCCCTAGTGTGCTTTGCCGTATTCTCAATTCACTACACCACTATAATTTGTTTCCTGTAATTCGTCATAATAATTGGCTCTCTTGCTGCTCCAAATGGCGCTACTTGGCCAATAGGCAGGATAATTCATAAGTACCAAAATAACGTAAATTCGCACTGAACGGATTACAAAATTCCGTAACAAATAAACTGAGAATGCGATATTAAAATTTTAGCGAGCCAAAATAGAGAAACGAGATACGCGATAATCTGTTTCATTTAAAATGCGTCGTTCTTGTTTTTAATCCTCTGAACCTGATCTGCAGCCAGATCAGTCCACAAATTTATCATGTGAACGGGTAAGAGCTGCCTTTATCGTTAGCTGAGACCTTGGACATTTTATAGGTGATAGCTCGCATTTTTCGAGCTCTGTCTCGATTTATGCGGACCCGCTGTCAGAGCAGCTGACCAGCTTCTGAATGTATGACAGTAGTACCCAACTAAATTTTTCAAACCAAAACGACTGCTCCAGCTGGCATTAAAGATGGGCAAGGACCTGGCCAGTGACTGAACTCATACAGAATTGAGTATATATTCGCATGTCAAGACATAGTATTGTGTTAAGGGGCAAAACAGTTTGACAGTGAGTGTAAAATACATTGAAAATAAAATATACGATTTAAAATTTATGGTGAAGAGTGGCCAGGTAATATAACTTAAAATGTGCAGAATACCAATCAACTGTACAATGTTTAGATGAAAATAATAATGAGGATAATTTTAGAAACAGATGCGGTTCTATACATTGTGGTAATGAACTAAATAGCAGTTACATTCATATACACAGAGTAGAGTGACATAATGGAAAGGAAGTATATTGTCAAACTCAAATAACGGGATAATTCCTCTTCCCATAGAGCAGGGGTTCTTATTTTCCGTCTGGGCACATCTGACTAAACAGAAAATACTGGCGGGCGCAATAAAAAAAAAAAAAAAAGAAAAGAAAACAAAAAAAAGAAAAAAAAAAGGAGAACGATTCTTAATATTTCTTTATTTTATTGCAATCATAAGCATTATAAACAATACCCTACATTAAAAAGGTAACAAAGAATTTAAAATAGTTGTGATTAAAGCGATTTTTGGCACTGCATATAGCATACAGCGCACAAAAATAGATCGATTGAAAGAAACGTTAAGGAAGAGCATGTGCAGCTTTCTGTTCTATTTATCAAACTGGCCGAACGGCTCTATGACCTACATGATGCAGCAGGTTATATCCACCTAACAGAAGTACAACATATGATGCACTTCGCGGGCACATTGGCGCCTGCGGGCCACGGTGTTAAGAACCGCTGCCATAGAGTATACTGTCATGCTGAAAAAAAAAAAAAAACGGAGAATCTCGCCTAAAGACCAGTCCAAGAGTCTCCTAATCTTCTTTCCCTAACACCAAACTCTCTAGAGAGCTTTCGGCTCAAGACATTTCACATTATTAGTATTTTTTTAACAGACGAACATTTTTTTTTTTTTTTTGGAAGACAAGTTCGTGCACAAGCCTATGCAGCTGATCACCATACCAACAGAACGGCTCGCCGACAGTCCCATATTATGGTCGATCAGAGCAGCACTAACATGATACCATTGCGAAATCCCCGGAAATTAGTGGAGAGTGAAGGCCTAAAGGCAGCCCCCATCAAGAAAAGGTCATGTGGAATTGATTGCGGGTTCGAGATGGACATCACTTTATTGGACCATCTCCTCATTTACCCACCGTTATAACATTTTTTATTGAAACGCTTTTGCGGCTGGTGTCTGTGGCCAACTATTAGTGAGCTACCACGGTTGCGTAATCAGAAAATTAGTGTGTTCATTCGATTATGGTATCATCATACTTCCCAGTATATCCAAGTAAATCCTTACAGTGGGGCATAGATATCTACCACGTTAGCGAAGAGGGATGCACTGAGCGTTTTGTGAAGATATATTAAATAAGATATTAATTATGATACATTAATGGGTTTACCTCTGCCTCAGCGTACCAAAATTTGGTACTTATTGCGCAGTTTATTTTTATGAATTTTTGGAATAATTCACGGATTTGTAACTAATTTGTAATTAAAATACGTTATCTAATTTAAAATTCCTCACTCTCAAAATAGTGTTTTAAAAAAACGAATTCTTGCGATCTATAACTTTTTAACTGATAGAAATCACATGTCATATAATTATTTAGGCACAGTCAGAATTCTTGATTAGTTATCTTACATTTTGGTTAAAAAGCGTGATATTTATAAATCCTGATTAAAGAGCGTAATATCATAAAAATGGTGAAAAAGCGTAAGAACAGTAACATATAGAAAATTTTGCTCTTTATTTTTTATTGCCAAGATCCCATTTTATGACTTTATTCCAATGTTTTCATTTTCTCTTCCACAGTTGGGTGACCGACAGCTGGAGCCCCTGCTCCGCTTCGTGTGGAGGCGGCCGACAATCACGGCAGGTACATTGTGCCCAGATGGGTACAGATGGTATACGAAGCCCCGTTGCTGCCGATCAATGCCTTCGTCAGAAGCCTGTCACAGAGCGTCCCTGCAATCTAGTGCCCTGCCCACAGTGGGTGATTGGACCATGGTCTGGAGTAAGTTGAAAAGTTTGAAAGTCCTTTTTATTCCTGCTTCTTCTCTAGTTTATTTCTACAGTATACTGGAAAATATCTCGAAAAAAGCATCCAGAAACTGCTTTTTTTCCAGATAATCCAGAAAGTGCTTTCAAGTTCTCGTGTAGCTAAGTTATATACAAGACAATTTTAAAATTTAGTCTGGAAGTGAAATAGTTTGTATACGCATTTAGTCTTGATTATATTTCACATTGCATTGTGTATACTGATACCAGTGCACGAGAATTTTATTTCTTTGCGGAAAGTATATTTTGTGATCATGATATATTCCATCAAACTGACTTCAAGTATAATATGACATAACATTCGTTTCCTTCTCCATAATTGAAGAATAATTGTTGACAGCATTTATTTTCTTTAAAAACATGGTCTTTTGAAATAAATATGAATGCATAAGAAGCAGTGAAATTAGATGAATGGACACCGTTAATCACATGATCTTTGTAGAGAGTAAAGAATACATTGTGTCACAGATTCTTCGTTAAAGAAAACAGAATAAAATGTGTCACTTTTGAGATTTGTAGATCGGCAGTGGTGTATTTGTCAGTTTTCAAACGTCAAACGTTGTTGCTAATACTGTGGTTCACTCTAAAGTTGCGGTGATCAGACACTGTATTGTGCAACTTTGTATCAAGATCTAGATGAGAAAGTAACCACCACAATGAATGCAAAATGACCTTTTCCTTATCATTTTGAAAAGTATGAACTGGTTTTTCACTCGCGCGATTGTAAATCTTGTTCAAGAAACATGCAGTGGAAGCGCAGAGGATTTCCTTTGTTAAAGAATTTTCGTTCCAGACTTGAAGCCAAGAATATAATTCTCTTCCTTTCCCGATACTTTTCATGCCTTCTTATTGGTGCTTCTTATTAGGTTTCATGCCTTCTTATTGCTTCTCATCACACTACAAATCTTAGTCCGAGTTACAGTTCCACTTAATAGCTGTCTAATACCCCTCTCTAATTATTTCAAGTAAATGCTTCTTTTCAGACTATTTATATACAAAAAAATGATTTTAAATACGTTATTTGTTGTGACGTTGGTGATGTGATAACGATATTAAAGTCCTGAAACTTCAGATACTAAGATTTTCACCCCTGTTTGGAGAAAAAAGGTAAGTGCAAGAAAGCGATAAAATAAGTGCATTTTAGTGTCCCGTTGTTATTTTTTGTTTCTTGTGTTTGTTTCAAACTTACAGCTCAGGACTATGAGACGTCTATAATTTATATGCTCAGTGTTTATGTACGGAATCTTTGCTTTTATTTACACTCAGCATCCATTTCTTCACAAAACGTGATTGAATTTATTGAATTACATCACATATTTTAATTTGGTTAAATTCAAAATTTCTTCTTTGGGTTCAGTGTAAAATATTTTAATTTACTGGAAATTGGACTGTCCTTTTTAGTAATATTGATAGAATCTCTGATTTTGTTTTATGTTATCGGCATAAAAAGCACTGTATTTTATCAACTTTGCGCGGTTTATTTTACATAATTCCATTTGTCATGTCTTGTGGTAGGTAGTTGACTGTTTACTGTTGATGGTCAACGGAGGCACCGTCTATTTACCATAGGTTAGTTGGTTTTGCCGCCACGGTCGCCACTATCAAGTGGCAGAGCGCCCGTTAAGCAGGCAAACACGTTAGGTAGTAATGAAACATTGGATTAGGTTAGTTTTGTTGTTTTACATGTCATACATTTTTAATTAGTTGAATTTAAATAATATTTATTATTATTAATAATATTTAATTATATTATTATTAATTATAATATTAAATATTAATTATATTAATATTTTTAATTTAAGTTTTAATTAAATTTAATGTATGCCTGTCATACGAATATCCTAATCACTCATGACGCATCTTTTCTTAATATGAGAAGCTCCCATTTGGTACAAAATTTAAAGTTCAATAAAAATATTGAGGGAAAGTAATATCGTAAGTATTACGTAATTCATCTTTAAAAAACTAAATCCCACAGTTCCATGTGTCACATCTGATGACACAGCCACAAGGTAATAATTTTTGATAATAACCTATGCAAAAAAAAAAAAAAAAAAAAAAAAAAAAAAAAAAAATCTGAAAGCTTTCAGATTTTATATTATGCCCAAAGGGGCGTTTTTTTCTAACATTTATACATACACGTTCCGAGAGCATTTGGGTTAACAATATTTGAAACAGCGTGTCTTTAGAATTTCCGACAAGCGGTTTCGTGCGCTGGAAATAAAAATATTTTATTCCGTACAGTGTGTTGCCACTGCTCGTTTCGAAATCGTTGAGTTTCTTAATCAAAAATTCGTTTAAGCTAAAAAAAATAGAAAATAGATAGTTAAACAAATTCGGAATTCAAAATTCGAGCTTAAGTCTGCCCGTATTCGAGTGGAAGACTACTTTATTCAAAATTTGATAGCTCTAGGGATTGCTGCTTTATCACAATGCAAGAAACATGCAGATTCTTCATTATTTAAATTCTTTAAGTGTAATATAAGGCAATATAATAGTTGGTGGCAACAATTTGAAAAGTGATACAGCCGTTTATAGTGATTCGACGCAAAATGCCGTTTCGAGAATAATAGCCCTTCTGGACTAATGCCCCTTTGAGTAAACTTTGTTGTAGTTTTTAAGATTCTAGCTCTTTGAAGTTACTTGGAAGGCTAGATATTGACTTGAACTGTGAAGCTACTGTTCGCAAAGTTCAGCTGTATTAGTAATAAGACGTAAGAAGGGTGAAAAGACCTTTTTGTCCAACTCATGAACAGATGGCATTCCTCATGCCTTGGCAGTTCTTTTGAACTCAAAATAGGAAACGTAAAATTAAAACTATTCCAAAGTTGAATAATCAGCCGAAACTGCACAGTGATATTTAAACGCGTAGCTGACTCTTGGCTTATACCAATGATATACAGACTAACCGGCAATTAACCCTCTGACTGCTCAATTTGTAGACCGAAATCGCTTCCAAAGAAATATTTTTTTTCATATTTTAAATCTATATATATTGGAGAATTGAAAAATGCATGTTTTCTTTCTAGAAAATATTTTATATAGATTTTTATCATGAGAAACTAAGCTGCCAGAAAAACCAATTTCAGATGTTATCACCAAAAAAAAAAACTTTTTTTTTAAATAAATTTCGGTCGAATTACAGTTAATTTATATTTATTGCATAATATACAAAAGTGAAATGTATAAAATTTAAGAAAATATAAAGTGCTGAGCTTAGAAATACAGTTTAGTATGATAGAGTTCAAAACAGGGTTCGAGGCAAAGTCCAACTTCACAGTTTTTGCACCAGATTCAATAAATCTAACTCATAATCAATCTAATTAATAATTCCATAATTTAATTAAATAATTAAGATAATCGCTGAATGTTTTCTAGGGGCCATTTCTGTAAGAAAAAAGTGAAGTTGGAGTGTTAATACTACATGCCTTCAAATGCCGCAATTAAGTGGACAACTAACGATATCTACTGGCTAAAACGTAAACTTAAACGCCTAATACTGTATATACACTCATGTCCATAAATTAAGGATAATGCAAAATCAGGCAAAGGAAGAGTTAGAAGCAAAACAAATTTGACTTATTTGTAAAGCTTATTTATTAAACAAAAGGTAAAGAGCAAAAAAGATGCTATATGTTTCATATTATTAAAAAAATTAGCGATTTTTTCTCCCAGGAGCAAATTACAAAAAAAAAAAAAAAAAAAAAAAAAAAAAAACCTATTTACAAAAAACCAATATTACATGTTTGGTATGATTGTTAATACATTGTATGTCTCCCAGACGATGCAATACAGTCCGTACAACGCCAAGGCATGTTGAGTATCAAATTATCGATCTGATCTTGGGGGATATTACACCACTCAAAAAGCAATGCTCTCCTAAGTTCTGGTAGACATGTAGGAGGAGGTTGACGGGCTGCAACTCGTCGGCCAAGCATGTCCACACGTGCTCTACTGTATTCAAGGCCGGTGAGAATGCTGGCCAGTCCATACGGGTGATATCCTCCGATTGAAGGCATTCGCTTACGATGTTTGCACGGTGAGGACGGGCGTTGTCATCCATAAACACAAATTGTCGCCCATGGCGCCCCGAAACAAACGTACATGCTGTTCCAGAATGACGTCCCGATAGATTTGGCTTGTCATGGTTCCAATGTGAGCATGCAGGTCAGTTGTGGAACCCAGAATAATTCCACCCCAAACGAGCACTCCTGCACCACCGTAACGGTGCCGTTCAATGATGTTTTCTTGATGGTAACGGGTACCTGGAGCTCTCCATATGAAAGTCCGGCGAGAATCAGACTGCATGCTAAACCTGGACTCATCGGAAAACATCACACAGGCCCACTGTTGCGGTTTCCACAATGCATGCTCTCTACTCCAGGCTAACCGCAGGCGACAGTGAGTTGCAGTAAGTGGAACGCATCTGACAGGTCTGCGAGGCATTAGACCAATCTGCCCTAAGCGTCTGTACACGGTCTGCCTTGAAATTGTCGTACCAGTGGCTGAAGAGAGCTGACGAGACAGGTCTGAGGCTGTGCTCCACCTATTTCTTTTGGCAGTAACTGTTAAATACCGGTCCTCATTCGGCGTTGTAACTCTGGGGCGACCTGTGCTGTAACCTCTACTCACATTACCATCATCTTGGAATCGTTGCCAAAGCCTGGAGATGACACTCTGGGCAATGCCATGTTCGTCTGATACTTCCAGTTGGGTACGCCCACATTCCAGACAGCCGATAATTCTGCCACGTAAAAAATCATGCAAATGCGTCTTTTGTGTCATAACTATTCGGTTATTGCACTGAAATGCTTATAAAGCGCTTGCGAACAATTTTACTTCTTTGCCTGTATTCCTTATATATATTACTCTCTTACACTCTCGTCATTGTGACCTACCATCGGTGTCATCTGGTTACTTCCTAAAATTTGCATATGATTCTTGAAGATGTGTGTAGTGATTTTACAGGTGATATATTTATTTTAGAGTTCGATTTCTGCGTGACATGAATTATCCTTAATTTATGGACATGAGTGTAATTTATTTCAGTGCTTAAACGAGGAAAAAACGGGATGCGCTCCTCAATAAAGGAAGGAAAACATATGCCCGCGGAAATCGCGAGATAAGCAAATTTTGCTACATTTCAGTTGTCCGTGTAAATCGCGAGATGATCAGCCAGAGGGTTAATATAGACGGCCGGTAAAATAGCAAGGTTAACTAGCGGAGAAACAACGTGGCCAAAAGGCAAAACTTTCACTGACTTAAATAATAGCTTTCTACTCTATTTCGCATAATGCGCTAAACTAAAATCTCAATTTGGCAAGAAATCGTGTGTTGATAAGAGTTTATAAAAAAGGTTGTTTCCAAAATAAAATTAACTGTTAACAAAATTAAATAAAACGTCACTAGTGTTCTGAGAGGACTTGAACTGCAGTTGTTAATCATCGGAAGGAGAGACCCAGTTGCAGCTCTAGCACGTAACATGTATGTATTGATGGCAACTTGACACATGCCATGTGAATTTAGTTTCAATTCAGTGATAAAACCATGTTATATTAAGATTTCAGTTGTTTAGCATGCTAAATGAAAATCTGGAAGTGTTTATCTTTTACTTTAGCGTATTTTGCTAAATTAATTACTTGTTCAAAAAGAATAAAACTTGAAAGTAAGGAATTTTTCTGATTTTTCTGATATTAGAAATCTCTCTTGTCTAAATATGTTTTAAATTGCAGAATTCTACGTGAAATTTGTCAAATATAGAATGAAATAATGATACAAATATGTGTAATTTTGACTAGATACAGTCACCGAATTCATAAATCCATTCAAAAATACCATTAACATCTAAAATGGTTAAGAATATTTACGGTATAATTAAACACAATACAAGAAGAGAAATATTCAATATTGATAATAAGTATGACTTAATGTGGCTAACAAATATAATTAAAACGCATATACTAATAATAAGCTTCTAAATACACGTTTGCGATCAATAAAATCGGAAGGGGAAAGATACCTCGAACACTGGTATTTTGACTTGAGTCCCAAATTACAGACTAAGCTGCATGGGTATTTTCTTGGTTTTGCCTCTGTGTAACGTAAGGTGTAATTTCCCTTAGAATTCCTCCCTTAGGCATCCCTTTCTGTGGGCAGATAACCATCGCAAATGTAACCACATTCGATTAAACAGTAGTAAAAAACAATGAATTGCAAGCTCTGTAAATAAGAGAATTAAAAGAAAGCTGAAAGCTTTCAGATTTTATATTGCGCCCAAAAGGGCGTTTTCAACTTTTTGTGTGTTACCTTTATTTATGAAATATCATGTTATTCGCACATGAACCATAAAATTCAATTCAACAGCAATATCACAAAATAATTTAAAAAGAGCATATCTTTCGAATTTCCGATACACAATCTCACGCGCTGGAGATAAATTTTTTTTTCCCGTATAGTGTTGCCATTGATCGCTTTAAAATTGTTGAGTTTGTTAATCAAAAATTCGTTAAAGTTTTGCAAAATAGGAAATAGATAATAAAACAAGTTCAAATTTCGGATTTCCAAGTGCCCATGTTCGGTTGAAGGACAACATAATCCAAAACGTGACCGTTGTTTTCTCACAATGCGAGAAATATTCATGCATTCATGCAGATTTTTCATTATTTATTGCCTTTAAATATAATACACGGCGATATTATTTGGTGGCAACAGTTTGAAAAGGATATCGATGCAAAGTGCCATTTTGAAATTAACACCCTTTCAGGACTAACGTCCTTGGGCTAAAAACGTAAACGAATTAAACATATATCAGTTTGATATCTCAATTTAAGAAGTTCGATGAAGCGTTCTTGAAAACTGCGGAGTATAACATATAAATTTCAGTCTTTTTCTAAAGCGAAAGAGACATCTCAAAACCATTTCTTACGTAGTGTCAACTCTAAACCGTAATATAAAAATATATACATAACATGGATCTTTCTTCTCAGTAATAAAGGAACGATGAAACCCCCCTATAAATTCCAGTTACAGCTTTCGCTGAGGCATTTGTACTTATATATTGAGCAAGTATCGAAAAATAATATTACATCGATGGTCTAGATACAAACAGAAGTTACAAAATAAAACTCAAACGAAAGATAAAGAGTCATACTGTGGAAATAAACATGTCATATATTGAATTGAGCTTACGCCAAATCTTATGAGTAGAGTCACCTATATTTTTTATAGATATTTCTTTTTTGAAGTATGTTGACAACATGAGTTCGTGTTCTTAAATGTGTACATACATATAAGCAGTACATCAAATATATTTTTATTGATTCCTATTGTCCACTGAATCTTTCAAGCTAAATTGCAAGAAATTTTGTCATTTCTTTTGAATCATTTTCTGAATTTTTATCAGGTAAACTGCGCGCAACAAAATAAGGGGGGGGCAGATCTATATCTCTCGTTCTACTGGGCTGATTGACGAAATTCAACTTGCGTTTATCATGTCTCGAAAGCACGACTTACGATATGCATTAGATTTATATATAGCATTGTTCTGATATAGATATTTTGACACAAAATCGGGCTTTTTCTGAAATATCATACCAATGTTTTCCCATATTTCGATTCTACGACTCAAATTACCCTAAACTACCAAGTTTTGTAAAAATCGCAGTAGTAGTTTTTAAAAATTTAGCCTCTTAAAGGTTTAGCTGCTCAATGTTAATTCAACTTGGCATGCATTTATTAATCTCTCTTTTTTATTATACTTATTTGATTCTTCCTTTCACATTTCGAAATTCAAGTTCATTCCAAATTAAATTCACACATTTATTATGATTTATTTTAAAATAATTTTTATAAATTTTCCATAAAACATTTTGAATTATAATCTATAAAATTTTTTCCATCATCTTAAAGTAGAAATATTTCTAATCATACCATCAAAAACATTGCAGTTTTTTATTCGAAATTTCCGAAGATGTACATGAATTTATATATTGGCGCGTTTTATGTATTGGCGTTTTATATACTGGCGCGTTTTCTATTTGAAATTTGGCGTGTTTGTTGAAAGCGATAAAACATCAACTGTGGTTCAGACACTTTGCTAAAATTATTTGAAAGTAGGAACAATGTGACTTTTTTTCCGCTCCGGCATAATAGAAGGGAGAGGAAAATTGGTTGCCATATACTAAGAAGTTCCCAAAGTGAATTATTCTTGGCGCAAACTGAAAAAAAATTGTGCCAAGATAAATGTTTGAATTTCTCCATAACTTTCGCACCAAATTTTACAAAATTTAATATCTAGGCATAATCTAAGTCGTAGAATCGAAATATGGAAAAACATTGGTATGTTATTTCAGAAAAAGTCCAATTTTGTGTCAAAATACCTATGTTAGAACAATGCTATATATAAATATAATGCATATTCTATGTCGCGCTTTCGAGAGATGAAAAACGCAATTTGAATTTTGTCAATCGGCTCAGTAGAACGGGGGCCCACCAGCGGCCAAACGGTAAAGTCGCTGAACACTGGTAGTTCAGTCCGAGGTTCGAATCCCGCGAACGGGCTGGCTGCATGGGCGTTTTCGTGTAACGTGTATACGAGCCAGTTTCCCTTAGAACGTCCTCCACGAAAGGCTCCCTCCCTTTAGGCAGATAGCCCTAGAGGCTTTGCCATAATCACACATACACACACAGTAGAACGGGAGGTATAGAATGTCTCTTTTTTTTCTGCGCAGTGTACATTTTCTATCAGCTTAATTTTATATCATTTGATTTTTTTTTAAAATTTGAAGTGCTCTGTTACGTGTGGGAAAGGACAGAAAACTCGTTCTGTAGCTTGCAGAGATGCCAAAGGGCAACACAGCGAAGATTGTGATGTTGAAGAGATGCCAGCAACTAAGATGGATTGTGATAGCCGCCTTGTATGTACGCCGTCAGAAGACCCAGGAACGTATTTGTTCTCAGGTGAGTGAAATGCTACGTTTATTATTCTTGTAAAGTTTATTATCATTTCCTAACCATTTATCAATACTTTTACCTATACCTTCTGATTTCGTATGCACAAGGGCCCTAGCTCTAGAAGCTAATGTAAATTACTCTTCGCCATGAAGAGGTGTTAAGAACGGATATAAATGCTATGCATTAACTGTAACTGATAATTGACTGAACCGACTTATATTGAAGAGAATGTTGCAGCGAGTACTTTTATTTTCCATTGAGTTTATTTAGTAAAGATGTGTATCTCTTAAATGAAGTGAGAGAAGACTGTAAAGAACTAATTGTAATTTTTTAATTCAAACAAGTGAATAATAATCAAGTGTAGCAGTCGAGGCGCTTATATTAAAACTTATTATAACTGTTTAACTAAGAACTACTTCAAATCGAAAGAGAAACACGTCGATGTAAAATTTAAAGTTAAGAAAAACATAAATCTTATTTTGGCATAAATTTGGAATGAATCTCTATCGATTTCGACTGTGATCAAACACAAGTCCCTCTTCTTCAGGAAAAAAAGAATTCCTGCGAAATGGGAGCAGCGACGATTGTACATATTTATATCTTTAATACCGAAAGCAATGGATGGAGCAAAGCGAACATGAACGTAACGCCATCTGTCTTGGAAAATAGAAATGAAACGTGAAAACTTAAGCTGAATTCTAAAAGCCTGTGGAAGGACTGGGTTGGAATTGATGTCATTAACCAACGAAAAGTAAATTTTGTAAATGTGGAAAGGTTTTAAGGGAATCTAATTTATCATCTGAAGAAACTTTATAGATAACTTTCGCAGAAGGCGCACGGATGTATATCAAAATTGTGCTAAAGTTTCTAAGTGTGATTAGATATCGAGGATTTGTTTATTCTCCTTTTCGGTATGAGATTCATGCTCCTTGAGGAAAAGTTCAGTTTGGCGGATGTGTCTCGGAAAACATCGGTAAGATATCTCATAAATTTCTCAGGAATTAAAGTCAGAGAGAGAGAGAGAATTTTAAGCATCAAGCACATTTAGAAATAGGTGAGAAAATGATATTGTTACGTTATTGTCTTCCTTCACGTTCGTACGGGGATCGTGAGGATTTGGAGTAATGATGACAGCACTCGATGAAGTATCGAAACACACTTTATTTAGCCAATATTAATCAGGACAGCTCCAAAGTTACGTTTTACAGTGGTCGAAGATCTACTATACACTCGCTGGAACAATCAGCGACACAGCCTTCAGGTTATCAGGCTATAACGGTGGAGGCAGCTTAACTGCCAAGCACTAGAGTACAGCTCCCGACTCTGCTTGGTAGTTCTCGGAACTCCACGTACTTTCGAGGCTCTCCACTCTACAACTCGCAGTGCACTCGACGACACACAGACCAGAGCTCCCGACTCTTTGATTCAGTCGTTCCCAGAGCTCAACGCACTCTCTCGACGATGCACTAACCGCGATATACGAAGAAACTCTTTCGATGCAGTCGACGACCCACTCGGCACTCGCTGCCCGGCTGTCAACTCGACTCCGCACGGACTGACTAACTCGAGACACTAACTCGCACACTGACTCTCCGCGTACCAGCAGGGTTTACATAGTTTTTGGCTTGTGTTCGAGAGCATTCTGAGCTAAACCGATAAGAATTTCGTTCCAGAAGGTTCTCCACCCGTCCATGGCATATCGCCAAATGGGCGATTTCTCGCCAAATGTGACAACCCTGTCTTCCCTTGCCATTTTATGGCAACCCTAAACCTGCTTTGCGGGGAAGCTATTTTACCACGCCTGGACATTTCGTAACAATGTGAAAGTTAAATTTCCGTAGAATCCAAGCTGTGTTATGACTGGCAGAAAATTGAAATAGAGCGACGACAAAGTTGTTAATGTTATTTTTAACAGTGGAATGTTTTCTTTGATGGCAAGACGAAAGATATTTTAAAACTTTGTCAAACATTTAACACGATCAACGAAATTGTTGATCATGTTATGATTGTGGGAGAAGTTCTTTGTCTGTGGCAACGGGTTCCAAATAATTCAATGCGTTGGAAATCAAGGATTTAGAAGAACGAAACTTGAGACCGTGATAGAAGCAATTTTGTGTCAAACTGCGAAGTAAACAATGACTTCTTTACTCTTATGTACTATATAGTGTATGTGATCGTTCTCAAGATCGATAGAGGTCTGCTCGGTAGCTACTCAAAATAAGGTTGCTGTTTTGCCAACTGCTTCTGGATGATGTGTTAAGAGTTACAACGCTAGTCGAATCGGACAGAAGGAATAAACTGGTTTTCTAACAGTTACCGAAGTCTGTTACCTTCTGATCTGTAAACAACTTCTGTACAGAAAGCAGCAGTGCAGCGAAGCAGTTTCACTGAGCCAGTTAAGTTTACATCCTATTTCTAACCTAAGCAGCTTGCGTACAATATGCGCAAAACTTCTAGTGTTAGCTTGTACGTCACAAGACAAGGCCTAAGATAAAGGAAAGTAGTATAACTTAAATCATATATGTCACAATATCAAATAAATTTGTTTGATCGAATTAGGACTTATATGTTGAGGATATGACCAGCCAAGTAACGTTACTATTAAGTTCCTGTAAACCAGAATTTATAGTAATAAAGCTTTAGTTTATTCCCTATTTACGTATTTTTGTACTTGATATAATTACAATCGATTAGGAACGGGCAGTAGAATTTCCTATAACAAGCGTTTAAGTTAAAAGTACTGAGGAAAGTTTAGTTTAAACTACGTAGAGTTTTACTTTATTTTTCTAATAGGCATTTTTAGTTTAAGATAAGCCTTTACCATACGCTCCCATTTCCCTATCTACGTTTTCATGCCAGAATGCGTTTTCGGTATTACGCTTAAGGGGGCTCATACACCTTAAACCCCTTATGATCTTCGAATATGTGAATGTTGCAAGAATAGGAATATTTTATTTATTTTAAAAGCAATTTCTAGCAACGTTTTACAGCTGACTACGTAAAATAGCTGCTTTGGGAACTAGTAACCAGAAAGTTTGTGTTGCCAAAAATATTTTGTAATTTAATCCGCTTTGTGACAAAAGTTTTCGCCATGTTTTCACCTGGCGCGCGTGATAGTTTAAAAATGGCTAATGGTACATATTTGAAATTAGATGGAATTCTTTATATGGGCACTATTTCCTAACTGAACCAAAAATATGATAAATATTTTAATATTATAAAATTTTATGCACAAACATTACGCATTTTTTAAATAAAATACATTTTATAAACTCAACTCCAAATAAAATAAAAATTTAACATGAAATTCTTAGAATTTTTGGTTCACAGTCGTTTCCAAATGATATAAAAGCTATATATTAAATATGGAATTAAATTATACAACAGAATGTTTTAAACTGTGCGCGCAAGGTGCATACATGATGAAACATTTTGTCACAAAGCGTATTAAATTATAAAAATATTTGTGGCAACACAAGCTTTCTCATTGCTATTTCAGAAAGCAGCTGTATTACGTAGTCAGCTGTACAAAGTTGGAAGTAATTGCTTTTAAAATAAATAAGTTATCCTAATTCTTGCAACAGTCACATAATCGAAGATCTTGTGGATTTTAAGGTGTATGAGTCCCCTTAATGCAAGTAAAGCTGAGGTCTTTATTGCTTCAGTAGGAGAGCGTGTTCTGCTTTTTGGCCACGTTGTTACTATCAGTCAAATCTAGTTAAAGCTACGGACGCACTTATTACGTGCTTGTTAGATTACGCCGATGATTCTTAGCTAAGGGCCAACTACGCGAGAGTGACTCTGTACAGCTTTACAGCTTCGGCTGATTAATTCTGTTTAGTATTAGTTTTATATTATTAATTTAACTACTGATTTTAGTCCATCTAAATAACGTCTAATTTACGTTACTGATTTCAGTCCATGTAAATGCAGATGCTGTGGAGGAGATGTTTTTTGGATGTTGTCAAAATAACTAGAATTTTTTTTTTTTAATTTTAGGTACAGAACCTATTATACGCTTGGTGGTTTCGAAATTTCCGATGCGTAAAAAATTTCCAGCTTTCAAAAAATTTTATAAGAGGAATTTCCGGAATTGTTGATAGTGTTATTTTGTTTTGTATTTCACTAATGAGTTATGCAATTAATAAATGTAGAACTGAGTAAGAAAATCCTTAACTGAGGCAATTAAATTTTAAAAAATATCACTTTAATAAAAACTGATGGGAGGCTGGGCTGTTACATTTATTCCTAACGGCCGTTGGGTTTAGATGCGTAGGACTAGTTCCTAAGATTTTTAATGCTTCTTAATTTTTATTTTATTGATTAAATGGTTTTTGTTATTTATTTTACATGTTAATTTGTTACTTTAAAAAACGAATGTTTATGGAGAAAAAAATGAAACTAACAAAAGAAATCTCAAAGCTTTTAGGTTTTATATTACAGCCAAAGAAGCGTTTGTTTCATTTACACATACACACACGTTTCGAGAGCATTTAGGCTACCACCCCCTTGGACTAAAATAATTTAAAAACAGCATATCTTTAAAATTTTCGATAGACAGTCTCGCTCGCTAGAGATAAAAGTATTTGAGTCCGCAGAGTGTGTTGCCACTGCACCTTGAAATCGTTGAGTTTCCTGATCAAAAATTCGTTAAAGTTTAAAAAATATGAAACAGATAGCAAAGCAAATTCGAAATTCAAAATTCAGGTGGAGGACTACGGTATTCAAAATTTGATGGCTCCAGATATCATTGTTTTTCACAGTGAGAGAAACATACATGCATTCATTCAGATTCTTTCTTATTTAATTTCTTTATGCACCCTACAGGACGATAATATTTTGTAGCAATAATTTGAAAAGTGATACAGCCGTTTACAGTGATTCGACGCAAAATGCCGTTTCGAGGACCAATAGCCCTTCTCAGCAAGGGGTCAATAAATACAACCTAAAATAATTTCTTTAATTGTTATATATATTTTATTCGCTCTGATGAAGACATTCAAAGATAAAAATCATCTGAGTTCATTTCCTTGTAAATTTGTGAAAGACGTAACTATTTATCTTCTACTAACAGGATAAAATAGTTCCTGTTGTAGGTGAAAGATCACGAGTAACGTTACTGTATGAAAACACAAACCATCACGTTAAAATGAAGAACTGGCATGAATGATGATTGACTTCCCCTTTGAAAGACGTACATACGAATTTTCAAAGGATTATTTTCAGTGTAATGATGGAGATTTTTAAGTATTTTTATCGCAGGCTTATTCATATTGAGAAACCAAAGCTATTACATATGGAAACAAATTGTTTCATTTTATAGCAGTGGAAGTGCGATACTGGGGGACGAACTTGACATAAATTTTGTAACTGACATCTTTTACGAAATGGAATTTATATGCTTTGCATAAGCGCGGGACAATATTTTCTGGCAATATATTTCGTCGTTGACTACATTCATTTTTAAAAATGTTGGCGGATGTCCAATTCTTGACGGTTTGCTTATCTGGGATGTCGATATAAATCTTATACAGAAATTGTAGAAGGAATGAGACTTGCTCATAAATTTAGATGTCGTTTCTTGTCTTTGTATTTACTAATCCATGCAGTTTTATTACAGATATTTTCAAGGGTTCCCAAGAAGATGCTCCACCTCGTCGAAAATCCAGTGAACCGAAGTATGTATCATTTCACAAAAGATGTATAATAAGTTCTAAATCATTTCAGTTTGAAATAAAAAAGTGTATTCGAAGCTAAAAGTTTATTTAAAAAGCAGTTTTAAAGTAATAGAAATATTCCTAAATAAAATTCGTTTTTTAAATATGTTTTTAACCTAACATAAATGTACTGAAGTAAAAAATAACAGAAAATTCAAAAGGTATAAATTTAAGGTATTTCTGGTAGTACTCATCACTGACATTTAGTGGCTTTAGATATTATGTAGATTCTGTTAGGCTTTTTGAAGCAGAAAACATGAAAAGAAAGCTGTGCCATCACCAGGATTCGAACTTCATCTTCCAATTCCTAGCTGGATGTGCTACTAGTTATACAACCAAACAGCGCAGTGGGGAAGGCGGTAATTATTTATCTTATTCCTGACGATGAAAGTGGAACAAGTCCCAATCGTCACATCCCGGTGGGGACGAATTATCGTCTGTCACATTTTCATTGGGCTGCACTGTAGAGCTGTAAGACGTTTTCTCAGATAGAAACGTGTAGCATCAGCTATACCTTCGCCTGCTGGATTACCAGCGAGGTGTGTGACCCCTTACATTACGATGGGACGTAATGGAGAAAATTTCGTACACCGAAAAGGGCAACTGAGAGGGAGGAAACCCAATTGCCAATCTAGGTGGCGGAAAATTATCATCCGCCAAATTTAGTCGGGCGCCACTGTACAATCTCTTAGGACTTTTGTAGCAGGAAACGAGAAAAGTCAGCTGTGCCCTCTTTAGGATTCGAACTTTTGATCGTCTTATTGCTAGCCGGACGTCATAACCAGTTACACCGTGAACGCACACAAGGGGAAAGCAATAAAATTTCGTTATAATTAGTTTTCTAGCAAATTTGGCTGTGACCTACAGTATTTTTCATGTAATTATAAACACCTCAAAAGCGTTGTTACTTTTTCTTATATTTTGTTATTCTTAACATGAATACAATTAAATTTTAATTTCAAATTTTTAAATCGTTAGTTATCCTTAATTTTCAAATATTTGTGATGCATAATAATAAGCTGAATGTATGGTTTCGGATGTGCATATATTCTTACGAATAATTCGCTGTATTATCGGAATTAACTGTGTGTATATATTCTGCAAAGCTAATAGTGAAATTTTCACGGTTAATGAATGTATATTTTTATTTACGTGTCCAATTCACTTTAAAGAATATTTAATATTGGTGAAGGCAAATCGAGCTCTAGGCATATATCTCAAGGGTTCGTTGCGGTAATCATTTTTAGATGATTTCGATGAGCTTACTAAATCCCAATGCTAATTATTCCCATTTCATACAAATTTTAAAAAGTAGAATTTTCATGTAAATTATGTAAATGATGATTGAAAATGTTAGGAAACCGATTGGCTTTAAACCAGAGAGCTGAAAACTTGTATGTAAAGTAGAGAAAATTTATAGACAGTGAACTTTCTAAAAATTTCATTCAAAGAAATTGCACAGATAAAATTTTTACAGAAGTTTTGATACTTTTAAATTTCTTAGAATGTGGCGCAGTAAATATCAGTGACTCGGAGAAAAGTATTGGAATCTGTATAAAATATTTAATCATTTTTTTTCTACCTTATGTGTGCGATGTAGACTAAAGTTTAAGAAAAATTGTTTATACGATTATATAAAAAGTTATACGAAGAGGACCAAATTAATAAACACAATAATATCCAGGAAAATCTGCAAAAAATGGACCACTCTAATTATTGTGACTCTCCATAAAAAGTGGACAGCTTTGAAACCTGGGATGTTTTTATCCACTGTAATGGTTTTAATAAAAGCGCACTAGAGTTAAACGCTTATGTATTTTAGTAGTCTAAAGTAGGTTTTCCTTGATGTTTGTATATGGGAAGGTGGGGTTTAGAACAATCGACAAGGATGTACGTGCAGTTGAAAGGTAGATAATATGAGAAATTACTTCACCGACATTGCTGGAGTTCAATAGCAAACTATTTATATAAGAATGCCTGTATGAAATCGTAAGTTCTCATTGAAGTTTTCTCTCTTCAGTTACGAAGTTGGAGAATGGGGTCCTTGCTCCGTTAGTTGTGGTCAAGGAATCCGGACCCGAGAGGTGGCCTGTAAAATACTTCTGGAGTTTTCAAAAACATGGGCATCACTTCAAGATTATGAATGTCCCGGTAAGTACAAAATTAATCACGTAATGTAGTTTCTTGTGGAAGCAGATATTAGAACAATTTAGTTGAGTGATATCTAATCACTGACAGTATTAAATATTAGACATTAAATATTAGGTTTCTGAAAAACTTTGGGGGCTCTTGGCAGCATGATACGAATGATTATTTTAAACAAAATAAAATGATGGTCATTACGAAAGATCCGTTCCTTTAGTGAAACATCTGATCCCTTACATATGCATTTAAACCGGCTTAAAAATGAAAGAAGTTAGTGACGCGCTTAGCTTGGCTTCTTTGACGAAGGTCTGGCCCTTGAAGCTGTTATTAACATTTACATTACAGCTATTAAAGGAAACCTTCCAGATATAGAATCCTTGTATTCGTTGGCTGAAATCTAGAGACTTCTTTCTTCTTCATATTTCGGGTATCATATGCTATAAAAGGGTAATTTTCATTTCCTGGAAGCGAGAGATAGAACCAAGTACCAGTGGAGCGGTAAATCAACACAGAATCGATCTTTCACACGTCAAATCTATAGTATCACTGAAGAAACTTGCGATCAATGCCAAGCATGAGAATTTAATCGGTCATGTGCATCATTAAAAACTTCATATGCAGTAGCTAAATTTCAGATTGATATGGAGTATATTTGTATTGTTAATTCGATTTTAAAGCCAATTCATAAAACACTGAGCCTGGATTTGAAATATAAAAAAGAAAGTCGAGCGAATAGGATTGACTTAAAGGCTTATTTAGAATCTATGTTTAAATATGCATTTAGCTTGAATGCGCCTTTGTGGTGGTGGGATGGTCTTGCTTATTATGATTACGGCTTGTCTTTGGCTTTTGAGGCCACTTTTCGAGGTTTAACCAGCTCTAATATGATTTAATCCTCCGGCTTTATTTTAAAGTTGCTGATTTATAAACATCGGTGGGAAGTCTGAGCCAACTTCGCGTTACATTAACTAGGAAGCTTTTGGCTGCTAAAAGTTTAAAAACTTGAATTAGACTGCTATTTTAAGTTTCATCTCGTCAATTTGGTGTGATTTATGTGAGCACGAGAATTGCCTTTATGTTCAAGCTCCAATTTAATAAAAAAGGTTTGTTTTAAAATATTTCTGAGACGCTGTCTTTACTTTCAGATTAAGCAATAATTCGCTCTAATACTGAACGGAGTCTGGATTTAGTTTATGCTACCAAAGTAAACCAAACTCTGTAATCTCTTTAATTTTTAAGATATCTCTCTACGCTGTCTCTCTTAAGTTTTAAGATAAATCATATAACGTATTGATTTTAACTAATATAAAAATATTTCTATTAAAGCAAAAAGGAAAAATGCCTGTAAAATATTTTTAATCCCTTCAGTGCTAATTTATATTCGGTAATTAGTTTTATAAAGGTTATATGTGGTTATATATATTGATAATTCTAAATATTAAGTTGTAAGAGAAAAAAGTACGAGTTGATAAGGTATAACTCTATACAGCTTGTAACTTGTAAACTAGGGTATAATTCTATATATCTGTATAACGAAAATGCTTTATTGAGAAACAGAAATCAGACTTTTATTAAATTTTGTAACTGGTGGTATTTTTATGTCCTGACAGAAACAAAGGGGGGGGGAGAAAGAGCATGGAAGAAGACTTTCTTAGTTCAAAAATGCGCCCCTTATTTGTCAGGATAACACATGCCATGATATAATAATATTTAAAACACCTTAAATCTTCGAGTCGATAAACAACGCAGAATACGCACTGTCTAATGCATTTGTAACATTTAGAGGTAAAATAATTAAATAAATGAAAACATTTCTTACTTCATTTAACCTTTCTCGGACGGCTGCACGCATACGTGGCGGCACTCACTTAGGAAGATGAGTACGGTATATAGGGCCGGATTTAGATTTGATTTTGAGGCCCTAAACTGTATAATATTGTATAATTTTTGTGTTCTCCTAAGAACGTGGAGGCGGTGAGCTATAGCTTGTGCAGCTTATACGCAAATCGGACACTGACTGTATGTGTATAATGAAAGAAAAGCGCGCCAAGTATGCGTAATTCAGACAGAATTTCAGGAGAATATGTGTTAATTATAGTCGATGTTCCTTGCCCGCTGCATATGATCTACTTTTCCATTCCTTAATTTTTTAGTATGAACTGCTTACTTTATTTTATTTTATTTTGTCAGTCCGCTTTCTTTCCTTTTTAATGAAATTTGAGAGAATACATTTCTAAAATGCTGGCACTCTAAAATCCTTTATTCAAGTTTTGGCATTTATCAACATGTTCTATACTTTTCCCTTTTTAATGAATAAATCGTATTAAAAATAATCTTCCTCCCCCCCCCCCTCAAATCGTCCTCAAACGTTGGCCGCTACTAGGGCCAGAAGCGGTGGTCACTTTATTATGGAAGAACCTAATATGTGGCCACCTTTCCCTCCTAAGAGGGGACAGACAAATAGAAATATGTCTTTTCCGGGACTCGAACGCGGGCCGAATGGTATCGCAGTCGGCTCTCCTAACCATTATAACGTCTGGGAGGCTTAAAAATAATCTGAATTTAATTAAATATAAATGTATATTTTGAAAGAAAGGAGAAATGATTGTCTAGCAATGGCGAAAGGGGTGCAGGGGGCAAAAGAGGTCGAGAACCACTGATTTAGTTTAGACTCTCAAACCGTTTATTAAAACATGTGAAATAACTTCTCTACGTAACCTCTGAACAACTTTATGCTAATACCTGTTAGAGCACGCTGATATAAATGTATTACGTAAAATCCTTTAAATACGATTTTTCAGTGAAAAAGCAAAGGAATTCTATTTAAAACAAGTGACTTCTAAATTCTAAGTTACTGAATTTCTTTCTACATGGATTTATAACATTTGTAAAATGAAAATAAGTAATGTGGAAATATCAAAGTAATTTAAAAGAGGAGTTTTTAAAGAGGTGTTAATTTAAAAGAGGAGTAACGTTTTCCTTTGAACTCACCATTGTATTTCACGTAGTTATAATTTGTGTGAAGTTGCATAACGCATCTCCTTCTTTGCACTTTCATTGATTGGAATAAAACTGTTTCTGCTAAAAATGGTAGATACAATTAAAGTTATATAAAAAGAAATAGATGAACTTTTGTTTTGTCATATTTTCATATTTAAAATTCTACTTAATTCTTTGCGACGGTGACATCTATTTTAAAATTATTACAAAATAATAAGATCATATGAAATTTATAAAATTCTGAAAATGTCCAATTATATGTTCCCTTATGATTTTTACTTATTTCATCTGGTGCTTAAAATGATGGAACGACTGCTGGTCAGAATTAAAGGATAGAAACAAAATTATTGAAAAATTATTAAAAGCTATTTTTACAATAGCATTATTAAACATAAATTACTACGTCTGCCAGTTTATTAACCTCATAATATGGGATTGTTTGCCATTTATTTATGTTAAGCCATATAAATTGAATTTGAAGTGAAAGTTTTGGAAATTTAGAAATGATCGTCTCTGTTTTTGTGGTAGATGGTTCTTTAATACTGTGTGTGTCATCTCTGATACAAATGCAAACCTCACGTCTTAATTTCATATAATTTACCAAATTATTGATCGCGCTTTGTGGAGTTGCACGCTTCTTTTCTGATAATTCAATTTTCACATCCTGCAGAATCCAGGAAACCATTTAAGGCGCTGCAATTCGGTGGCCTAAAATATCTAGCACATCCCCTTTACTCGGGTTCAAATCTGTCGAGTAAGGCGCCCAATCCATTGGAGTGATACCTTCTGTTTCCAAGTATTCTGACACCAGAGATATTTGATGGGTACTGTTTTTATCATGTATAAGAAAACGATTTCGACCAACTTCGCTTTGAATAGCATTCCTTGAGGTTCCAAGGCCTCTTCCTCTCATCTATCTCAAGTTACGGAAGCTCCATGAAAGCTATGCAGTTCGATGCGGCCATTTTTTATGATTCCATGCCAAACCATGAAACCGTTTCCTTGGAAACGGTGTCTTTTCTGAATAAGAGAAGGCAAGCCGCATATCTCTCACTCCCTCCAGATCCGACATCAAAACACATCAAGAATGAGAGTTCGAGCTATATCTGGATTCAAACGTAATCAATACACGATCCCATTACGCTTGAACCTATTGAACGTGACAACGACACCAGCTTAAACGAGTCTCTTTGGAAGACGAAGTGAGTGGGCTCTTTTTCGCGTGATGTCCAGCCTTGTGAAGACTTCACAAGACTGATTCGAGTTCCTATGACAGTGTGAAGGTAACATAAATAATTTCATCTTCAGCTGTTGATTGAAATTTTTAATCTGTGATCGTATATTTCTGGATTATCCCTGAATTTCGATCAGAAGGGTAACAAATAAATTGGAGAAAATCGCAAACCACTTTAATACACCATGAAAATCGAAATATATATTAAGCCAGATGTAAAGAATACAATTCCGATTCCCCGCAAGTGATTTCTAAAATATTTTACCTGAATGCTTTTTTTTATAAACACAGTCAAAACGCATACCTTCCCGAAAAACTATGTATATTTTTCAAAGTTAAAATCTTACATCATAATATTCTCAAGATGCTTATTTTAAAGTTCACACGTAGATGTTGCTTACCTCCCCCCCTTTTTTATATTCATGCTGTCTGTAATGAAAGGAAATACTGTTGTCAAGCTTTTTGTTGGGAAGAAAACAAATTGTAATACAATTTATATCGTTATCCATTAGTTAAGTCATCTCAAATCATCATAATGCATTCGATAAACGATGGTGTGGCCTCTGGTATATTAGTGCACAGATCACGAAATCTCGTCTTCTTTGGTAGCTTCCAGTATGCGAAACTTCTAATATCTTAAATGCATTATTACTATGTCTTAAGGGTGCAAAGGTCCCTTTTATTGAACAGAAGAAAAGATAAAAAAGATAAAATTTTAACAGAAGGAACCCCTTGTGCTTACAGAATAGCCAGCATTTATAGGTTAAATAAA